ATATGTTTACTTGTCTTGTAAAACAAACCACAACAAGCAATCAGCTTCACATCTACACTAGTTGAGTTTATCTTAATGCTGTTTTGAACAGTATTTCAGTTATATCACAGCTTCATATTAGAGTGAGTGAGTTGGGTTTAACGCCGCTTTTAACAGTATTCCAGTTATATCGCAGCGTGTCAGCTTATTTTGGGAGGAAAGCACGGGTATGGTGCTGACAAACCTAGAAACATAATCGGGGCGAACCGGGATTCGAACCCACAATCATAGGTTTCTGGCGTGCCTAAGGGCCGCAACTCTGCATAGCGAATCACGGCGCCTTAGACGACTGGGCCACCCGTGCCCCCGCTTCATATAAGAGAAAAGCCCAAAGTGATGTAGATCTAAGACGTCTACCACATCAGTGAATCCTATGGGCAAGGTTAGAGCTGACAAACCTTATAACATAATCAGGTCGGACCGTGAATCGAAACATGATTGTATAGTGCCTTAGACATCTAGGCCACCTGCCCAAATGTCCTCCAGCCCTTTCGGGACATTATTATAGAAAAACCAATGAGGACACATTTCAGAAAGAGCATTAGGCCCACCTTGAGTGTTGGGAAGGAGAGGAGATATGTGTTCATCGGCTCCAGGGACCGCTCGTGTAGCTTCTGCAGGTAGTCTGTCCATAGCAGATCTAAAGACTGAAACCAGAGATGTTCCACATTAGAAACTGTACACAAGCAAGAACATTTACCTGATTTACATAAAAACATATCTGGTGCCTGGTAGCAGAGACCATATGCTCTCTGCTGGTAGTGATAAAGAGTAGACTACTTCTTGCCCCCTCGTCAGGTGAATTCACAGGACTGCTTCTTGCCCCCTCAGAGGTGAATTCATCGGGCTGCCTCTTGCCCCCTTGTCAGGTGAGTTCACAGGGCTGCTGTTTGCCACTCATCAGGTGAGCTGCTTCTTGCCCCTTTAAAAGGTGAATGTTGTTGTTGTTGTTGTTGTTGTTGTTATTGTTGTTTGTTGTTTAACGCCGCACTCAGCAATATTACAGCTACATGACGGCGGTCTGTAAATAATCAAGTCTGGTCCAGACAATCCAGCGATTGACATCATGAGCGTCGATTCACGCAATTGGGATATGATGACATGCATCAACCAAGTCAACGAGACTGACCACCTGATCCTGTTAGTCGCCTCTTACGACAAGCATAGTCTCCTTTCAGGGCAAGCATGGGTTGCTGAAGACCTATTCTAACACAGATCTTTACCACGTTTACGGGTCTATTAGTTTAATGATAGGTGTGTTGTGTTTGTATTATAAAAAAAGATTGTCCCTATTTACACAGGACATACAATTACAACATGTAGACCTCAACTAGGAATGGGCCATTGATCATAATCACTCATCAAGGCTGTGTTTCTTTGATTCCAACATGAGACACTGTAAAACGAGGTAAATAACTGATTCTAGCAAAACCTCATCCAGTTCTGTCAAGTTCTGTCACATCCCAAACAACAATGTGCTGTAGGTGTCTAAATTTATTATCTCCACGTCAGTGAATTGAAAGCCTCAGGAAAGGGAGAGAACTTGACATGAACACATAAAAGAGAAGTCGGTCGTCTCACGGACAATCACCGCTTTCAACTCTCATCCCCTCTCAGGTCTGGCAGCTTATACTCATCCCCTCTTCAGCTGAGGGCTCCTTAATACTCGTGGGTTTCCTAATTGAATTATTAATATTTGACCTTGTACCTAATTTTTGGGGGGGACTGTATACTTGTCGACATCTACAGATGCAGTCAGTTTATTTAAGCAACACAACTTCGTCTTAATACATGTATCTGAATTTATTACCTACGAGGGCAAACATATCAGGGTTCATTAAAATCATATGTGCCCTAGGGTAATATCACGTCACGAGACAACAGTGTATTGTTTGCATCATCTGGACGGCATTGTTGACGTCATTCTAATCACATTGTGACGTGAGGTCGGAATGACATCACACTAGAAACGATGTCATAGCTGAAGATCGTTGACCACATTCGACAAATTGTGGTTCCGCTGCGTTTGCAACTTGCTGTCCTTATAGGTAAACACTAAAATTCGTCTCTGTGAGAAGACATCTTTTTCGGTAATAGATAGAACATTATATTCGTGTTCATGTCATAAACATAGAATCACATGAACACTCATATAATATCCTTTATATATACTACACAACTTTTGATAGTAGTCGATATTGTCTTGACTCATTTTCAGCATCTTGACACGATAGAAAATGATAAGCACACATTGCCTCGGCTCATGTTAAGCATGTCCCTAGTTTTGTCACAGTATGGACTATCTCAGTATTGAGAAGTATGTAGTCACTGGTGGAGTTTCCTGGATTATTCATATACAATTGTACCTGAACTTTCTGCTTGAATTCTGATTCTCTTGTCCACCCAGGCTCATAACTTTCTGACACAGAAGCGTAGAAGGACCTGCTTGCCAGTGATAATGCTGAAACAGAACATAAAAATTTGAATAGTTGGCATAAAACTGAACATTCTTGGCATGAAAATGAACATTCTTGGCATGGAACAGAACGATATTCTATGCATGAAACACACGTGAAAACTGAATATTCAAGGTATGAAAACAGAACATTCTATGCATGAAACAGAACATTCTATGCATGAAACAGAACATTCTATGCATGAAATCCTAAAAATCAGAATTTCAAGGCATGAAAACAGAACAATTTAAGCATGAAATAGAACAATCTACCCACGAAAGCCTAGAAAACACAACTTTCAAGGCCTGAACACAATAATGTAGCGCTCTGGTAATTGATGGGCGGTCGGGTAGCCTAGTGGTTAAAGCGTTCGCTCGTCACGCCGAAAACCTGGGTTCGATTCCCGACATGGGTACAATGTGTGAAGCCCATTTCTGGTGTCCCCCGCCGTGATATTGCTGGAATATTGCTAAAAGCGGCGTAAAACTCACTCACTCACTCACTCTGGTAATTGACCCACAATATCTCATTGTTGCTGTAATGGCTGGTAGAAATGAGGAATCAGTGGTCATGACAGTAACCACAATAGTAGAACTTAACCTGACACGTTAACTACCCTGAGAACTGAGAAAATACAACAGCGCTTGCAAACAACCTTGAATTCTTATGGTACACTTAACATTATATGAACTGACTCAGATGAGCAGGCTAGTTTCACTTTCCGTCCCTGGCTAATTGTTTGTCATCATGGATCTTGTGACAATGTATCAACCACCAGCTACTCTGTTCCAGACATCGACTATAATGAGTTTTGTGATGGTGAAAAAATAGGGAGTAGTAATGTTTCTTTCTTTTTTTCATTTTAACACCACGCTAAGCAATATTCCAGGTAAATGATGGTGGTCTGTAATTAATAAAGTATGGACCAGACAATCCCGTAATTGATATTGAGAACATCAATCTACGTAATTACTATACTTTTACATGCATCAACCAAGTCAGCAAGCCTTCACACCCCCTCCCGTTGGTCGCCTCTTACGACAAGCATGGGTTGCTAAAGACCAATTCTAATGCCTGGCTATACCAAGTGAAAGTGCCAACTGTTTTCAGGTGAGATGAAAAGGGTTAAATTTGTGATGTTGAGGACATTTTCGTCAAATAGTGATGTTCATGAGACTTATACTGAATGGTTGTTTGTTGTTTAACGCCGCACTCAGCAATATTCCAGCCATATGACAAAGGTCAGTACATAAACAAGCCTGGACCAGACAATCCAGTGATTGACATCATGAGCATCAATGGGATACGATGACATGCATCAACCAAGTCAGAGAGACTGACCACCCAATCACGTTAGTTGCCTCTTACGACAAGCATCGTTGCCTTTTACGGCAAGCATGGGTTGCTGAAGAGCTATTCTAACCTGGATGTTCAGTGGTTGGGCGTCAAAGGGAGAGCACATGTGTCAGGGCAAATTGATCAAAGAGAAAATGTCACACTGACTAACACATAACTTAGACATGAATGCATGCAACAAGAATTTACATTTACCTGTTTTGGAAAAACAATTCCTATTTTAGGTATTTTTACATGTGTTCCTCATCTACTCAAAACACGTGAGAGTGGATGCAATAATTTGCACGCCAAGTCCCATGGGTGTAACGACATCATTAAAGCGAAGTTATTTATGGCCTGCAAAGTAGCGTGGAAGCTAAATTTTACTGTTCCAGTCCATTTTCCAAAACTCAATCAATAAGTTTTTTCTCAAAAGAAAAAAGTCAGGTTTTAAAGAGAGTGTAAGGATTCATGAACATTTCTACAGTACCTGGGAACCCAATTATCATACCTGGGCTTCCTCCATTATCATGCCTGGGAACCCCATTATCATACCTGGGCCTCTCCCACTATCATACCTGAGCCTCCCATTATCATACCTGGGCCTTTTCCATTATCATACCTGGGCCTTTTCTATTATCATACCTGGGCCTTTCCCATTATCATACCTGGGCCTCCCCATTATCATACCTGGGCCTTTCCCATTATCATACCTGGGCCTCTCCCATTATCATACCTGGGCCTCCTCCATTATCATGGAGGGGCCTTCCATTATCATACCTGGGCCTCCTTCATTATCATACCAGGGCCTTTCCCATTATCATACCTGAGCCCCCCATTATCATACCTGGGCCTCCTCCATTATCATACCTGGGCCTTTCCCATTATCATACCTGGGCCTCCCCCATTATCATACCTGGACCTCCCCCATTATCATACCTGAGCCTCCCATTATCATGCATACCTTGGCACCCATTCTAATGCCTTGGCCTCTCCCATTATCATACCTGGGCCTCTCCCATTATCATACCTAGGCTTCCCCCATTATCATACCTGGGCCTCCCCCATTATCATACCTGAGCCTCCCCCATTATCACACCTGAGCCTCCCCATTCTAATTCCTGGGCCTCCCCCATTATCATACCTGGGTCTTCCCTCTATCATACCTGGGACACCCATTATCATACCTGGGTCTTCCCACTATCATACCTGGGACACCCATTTTCATACCTTGGCCTCATTATGCTTGGGAGCCCCATCATCGTACCTGAGACCCCCATTATCATACCTGGGCCTCTCCCATTATCATACCTGGTCCCCTACTTATCATACTTGGGACCCCCATTATCATACTTGGGACCCCCATTATCATACCTGGGACCCCCATTACCATCCCTCAGACCCAGGAATTTTTTTGTTTCACCTGTTTCCACGCCACACATTCTCACATAGTACAAGGTAAAAAATGCAACATCTTTTTTACAAATCAACTGAACCTAGAAAAACTCATTAAAAAGCAAATCATATCTTCCTCTCTTAAGGTAATAACGCTTTTCCAAAACACGTCCAGGATAATCATAAATCAATGTTAATATTGTGTCCACAATCACTGAAGTATTTCTGTTCCTTGACTGGTGCAAGTGACTACACACACCTTTGTTCAAGTAATGTTAATTCACGCTTAACGATTTCCATAACCCAGATATTTATCTTCTAATAAATGAACCAAGAAGAAAAAGAAGTGAAGTCTTTCAGGACAAAATTAGCTGATCCATTTCGTGACAAACCCCCCATGGCTGAATTGATTTAGAACCTGAATCAACAACTGCCTTTTCTTCATAATCAAAAATCAATATAACGTACATGTGCCTTGGACATAAACCGTGAGATTTTTTACTCCCATTGTCTGTTTTGATAATTAGAGTAAATTTCAGCTGGTATCCTGTGCTGTGACTCACTTGTGTTCATTCTGTTTGACCTAATTGTGAGCCCGTAACAACCACTGTTATGATGTTGGATGGAAGGAGGTACATTTCACACTTCATGACACCGTCAACCATGTATGCATTCTATTTCGTATTTTCGTGTCATCTCACACAAGTTAAAGACGTAAAATTTGCATGCATGTGGACATGATTGGTTTAGTCATTTTCATTCCAATTGAATGAGAGTTGTTGACTAACATCATTAAAATATGCTCAAGGAAGAGATTTTCATCTTTGAACAAATACTACATTGTGTTCGGACTACATCACAGTATTAATAAACGTTTTCATTTTAACAAGTTCAGAAAGAAAGTTCAAATGACTTGACGCAACAAAATATTAAACTGAATATCACAATACATCAGTAAGGGTGGCCTCTTGCCAACGCGGCAATTCAATTCCCATAACTGTGTAGAAATTCAGTTTGGCCTGGTTTTACATTTTTTTCCCCTTTTTGTTATCAAAAAAGTATTAACTTGCATGAGGAAAGACAAAAATAGTGACATACATTCATAATGTTTGTATTAATGTACTTTTGAAATTTGATACATTACACACTTCGTTCTGTATTTATTACGTATAATAATTTTCAACTATTAAAACATGAACATCAGTTGTTTTAAACTGGTCCTGATTGAGATTTTATCTGTATGATATATACTACTCAAAAGAAGTTAAGGAACATCCGATTCTTTCATATTTATATAGTAATGTGTCCTGGACTGTCAGATTAACTACAGTAATGATGAAAGAATTGGTTGTCCTTTAACTTCTTCTACAAGAAGCATAGCAGCCTCTTGGTTAGTCCGTCATACAGACCCCGAAACAAATATATCCAAAACAGCCCATGCAAGTCTATAATGTTTGGCAAGCCTACTGCAGTATCTGAAAATGAAGAAAGTCTTTGGGCTTCTTTTTATTATATTTTATAACTATAACTTAGCAACTGTTTTTTCTGTAAATATGTTCATTTCAGAGACTAGATGTTAGTCTACCTCTTGATGCCAGCAGGGGTTGCTGAAGACGAATTCTATCCTGAATCTTTACAGGTATTTTTGATAACAAAGTTTATTCTTTCTGTCTTATTTCACAATTACTGCAACCATGAATTCAGGAGGTACAAGTGAATATTTCTGTTACTGTTACATATATTATGAATATGCGTCCCTTCCTTAATAATTCCAAAAGTAGGCTTATTTTTTATTAGTTGAATTAAAAACCTTTTGGCCTAAAATTCAATGAAAAAAACAAAATTCAACTTTCAGATTAGTACTGCCATAATGAATGAAAAACAAACATGTTTAACAATGCAAGATACCGCAAGACAATCAATTTGTTTTTTATCATAATAAACATTATTATACACATTATTTCCCCATTCTTTACAAACAACAGTGATAAAATCTTGTATTTTTTTAATTTCATCTAATTGTAAAACAGAGTTGGCAAATTCTTTTGCTAAGAGACATTTTTGTTTCTTCTAATTTCAGTCTTGTAAATAAACAAAAACAACATATAAGGCTTCTCTACAACAAAGAATAAGGAGAACATTTAGGCTTCAAAATACCCTGTCTCGGTCGAAGCTGTAGTGTTCCTACTAAGATATCCCTTGGTTGGTGAAATACCAGGTTCTCAAGTAAATCACATTCATAACATGGCATACCTTTCCGGAAGAGTGACTATGA